CGTTTCCGACAGTCGCTATCATTGTTATGAGGATAAAATTTTTAAATGAACGAGTTTTCGATGAAGCGATTCTCATTCATTGAACATTAGTCAAATGCCTCGTTCAAAGCTCGTTAAATACCGTGGCACGATATTTCCGCGCGTGACATTACCGCGCCGACATTACTGCGCCGACATTACCGCGCACGACACTTCCGCGCACGACGCTACCGCGCACGACACCACCGCGCATTGACACTACCGCGCATTGACACTACCGCGCATTGACATTATCGCGCACGACACTACAGCGGACGACATATACGCGGAATTTTTTTAAAGTAAGTATTTTCGTTTAAATCTTTCAAAACTTGCGCAAAAATTTATTTACCGTCTAATATTTCTGATGAATTTTCTTTTATGCGAACGAATTCTTCAATAACATTTTGTGGTGAAATAAATGCAAGAGCAGCTAAATTTTTCATTGTTCGACGACTAACATCATTTTCAAGGAATTCTTTTTTCAAATGTAGTTCCTGCAAAGAAATCAAAACATTTATGAACTGTAAGGAAAACTTATATAACTCATTATGAACCAAATAAACTTACACAAATATGTCTCCAGATACATTGTTTGAAATGAAAAAAACACCCAAATATTTCACATTCGGGATATATAACACCAAATGAATTTTCAGCTGCTTTTTCAAAATCGATTGAAAGGTATTTTGGTTTACGTGTAACATGTTGTTTGACAATTTTGAATAATTCTTCATAAGCTTTTTCATCTTTGTTAGGTAAAAGTGAGTAAACTAATGGTAAGCTTTTTCCACGTATTGAACCATGTATAGAGTACATTTGTTCAAACATTTTAGGAGCAACCTAGAAATGAAAGATTTCGTTTGAAATTTTGGATATATTTCAATTACTTACAGCAAATGTACCATCACAATGCCAACTTTCACATTGATTTAAAAAATCCAATTGTTCTTTGCTTGCAAATATCAATAATCGACGATTAACATCATTATTATCATATAAAAGAAACTTTTGATTCGTAATAGTATTTTGAAAATTTAATGGAATAACAATATCGGCGAATGTTTTAGGTTCTGATGGAATATTATCATCTCTTCTAATACGTTGAATAACACGTTGTGATGCATTATATTGAGGACTAGTAATAGCAGCATCTGAAGATAATTTAAGTCGAGCTTCGTGTATTATTAATCTTGGTGTATCATGACATTCGGCAGCTTTCTTCCTAATTTCATAATTATATAAAGCTTTTTCAATTTCATCCGGATGTGGCGCCTGACATATATGATCTTGGTACATTTTAAACGAATTTCCATCAGAACGAGCACGACCTTTACACTTGTCCTTTACACAGCGCCACACTGCCTTATCTCGGCGATAACGGAAACCATCGAGAAGAAGTTGATCATTTCCTTTACTTGACTTGATGAGAGACATTTTTACTTATGACATACACTTATCTTGTATATATATATATATTAAATTTAGTCAATTTCATTTTATTTATTCTCATCAATGGGTCAATTATACTGATCCGCTCATTATTATCTGATCCAATTATTCCTTCTGACATTAGGTTTCATCTAAATTAATGGACCAAAAAAATAGAACAACCTTCTCTGATTAATAGCCATAAGCTTATTGATCAAATAAAAAAGAGACAAAAAAAATTCCGCGTATATGTCGTCCGCTGAAGTGTCGTGCGCGATAATGTCAATGCGCGGTAGTGTCAATGCGCGGTAGTGTCGTGCGCGGTAGCGTCGTGCGCGGAAGTGTCGTGCGCGGTAATGTCGGCGCGGTAATGTCGGCGCGGTAATGTCACGCGCGGAAATGTCGGTGAACCTTAAATACTATCCTTCATATCAGATTCGAATTTCATTTAACCTATTCATGCAGTGAATATTTTTGCTCTCCTATTTCAAATTTTGAAATATCAACTCATTATTCAATTGATAAACGTTTCG